CTGTGAACCACATCCTTAGCATTCGAATCAACACCCAGAATGATCTATCAAATCATCCTTAGAAAGAAAAGAAATAGGGACATCTATAAGAGGCTCATCCTTAATCGAATACAACAAAGAGGAAGCATTAACAATACCAGTGGAAATGCTAATTAAATCCACATGATTAAAACCACAAAAAGGAGTTAGCTCATTAGGATTAAGAACGCCATCGAACACCACACCAGCAATATGTGTCGACACAACCAAGAAATTACTATTGATAGTAATATTATTATCATCAGTAGAGTCACGAATGACATTTAAACCAAGCCCAACAGCACCTTGCATGCCATCATTGATGGCACCATTCGATCCAAACAAATTGTTATTCTCCAAATTAGAAACAACAACATAAGGAGGAAGACTAACATTAGTAATATCAATAGCCTTTTAACCAACAATTAACTCACCTTCATTCGAATAAAAAACAGGCAATACTTCAACATTTTAAGTAGAGGGAACATCACTAAGAGAAAAACCATCAGAGTTGGGGCTACTATTAATCACAGTATTAACCACATGAGTTCTCTCATCCATGCCATCCATAAAATAACCAATAACAACATCATTAACATGTGGGGGTGAGGACAAAGTGCCCACCAGATTATCACCTAAATGAGGGTGAAGTTTGTGATATTCTACAGCTGAATGTCTTAATGCTTTACACAAATCGCAAAATGAAGGAGAAGCTTTCATTTCAACAGATTGAATGAAACCAAATGTATTTGGGCCAACACATATACGATCGGGATAATGCTCGGAGATATCCAGCTCAACCAGTATGCGGGCAACAGAAGGTCTCGATCCAACGGATATTGCACTGTCAATTTTTAAAGGTTTACCGGACAAAGAACCCAAACCATGAAGAACAAATGAGGACGAAGATTAGGGAAGGATACCCATATCGGAATAACATGGGAATCCACGTTGACATGTAAGAAAGGCGACCATTTTGTAAGTTTCATGTAGCAGTTATGCACAAAATACAATCGATGGGAGAAGTTGCGACTGTAATTCAAATCATTCTCAAGTTTAATTAACACATGCTTGGGATTCAGAAGGGTAACAAAGAAAACTCTCTTAAGCTTAAGATTGAAAAAGAAATTCCTAATTGAATCAAGTGATGGCCTACGATCATGGAATTTACCAACTAAAGAAAATTCAAATGGAGCTGCTAAAGCTAAAATTTCCTCTTCGGAAATCCATAGGGAAGGAAGCCCACGAAATGCATGTAGAATTCTTAAGATCAGGAAATCCATTTAAAAAAGAACTTACGAAAAAAACATCCAAAAATGAACGAGAATGCCACTTCACCTTCAGGAAATCCGGATCAAGCAACAGTGAGTCCGCCATTCGGTCGACGAGGCGATTGAGATGAAAATCATGGTGAGAGACCATAAAAGAAAAGGAGAAGAACAAAAGCAAGAAGAGAGGAAAGAGACCACCTTAAAAAACTTAAAAGAGGAGCCATAATTTTGCTGTCAGACGGATAGGCGGCGGCTAGGGCAAAGCCCTAGTGGAGCTCCAAAACCATCCGGGGGACATAAGAGAACCTATCCAACAAATTGAGCTCCTCCATCAGCTGTAGCTTCCCTTGATAACTCTGATTCTAGTTAATCAGGTTAGAAAATTTGTGTAAGAAAAGCCGAGCAATTGCACCTTGAAGCTCACTTGACATCATGTCTTCTTTCCTGACAGTTGTCTAGC